TCTTGAAAGAGAAACCTGTGTTTTACTATCTGCAAAACCTATAAACTTCCCACTCGTGTTCTCGAAATTACCGCCACGAAATCGCCAGCGACACTGTTGCGAGGATGGCTCCGTCGCGCACGAAGACCGAACCGCGACGGAGACACGACGAAGACATGGTCGTGACCCACCGTCTCTCTTCCTTCCGTCTCTCTCTTTTCTTTTCCGACCACAAGCTTGGCCTTCTTCCCACAGTAAATGAACTGACCGGTGTAGATTCCTTCGGCGGCGATGAAAAGTTCTGAAGACTTCGATTTTTCTGGTCTCAAGCCTATCAAAGTCCCTAATAGATTTAATTTTCCTGTTTCCACTTCTTCTTCCATGGATCCACACAAAAAGGTGTCTTTTTTCTGGGTTCTTTGATTTAGTCCTTGTTTTCTTTCGTTTTCGACAGACATTGATATAGATCACCGCATAATTGCTGCTTTTTCTGTTTCATTTTGGTCCTACACTTGGTACCAGTTGGTTTAGCAGAAGACCCGTAAGTGTTCTATGACTGAACATTTTCTCATATCACTGCGTCCCCTCTTGGGGTTAAACAACAGGTTCTCAATTTCATTTCAATTTTATTTCTGCTCTTTTGTTTAGACCCTTTAAGTTTTTAACTTTAACTATTTTGTTTTATATTATATTGTTGATTATGGTCTCATGAAAATTCACATTGTGCATTTATCAGCTTGTATAGTTGTATACTGATACCGAATACTCGATCAATTTGTGTTGTGATTTGAACTTTATTTGGTAAATTAAGTTTTTACCAACTATTTTATTTGATTGGGGGTAGCAATGTACTACTGAATTTTAAAGAAGTTGGGACTGGGAATTTGGTCGATCACTTATTTTACAGAGGGATATTGCTGGTTGGAAGTTCTTAGCTGTTCTCTTCCAAGTTTATGGAGCACAGTAGTCTAATTAAGGTGTTTTCACTCCGAATTTAGTGAGAATCAGGGTTTGTAGCTAAAGAATCGAACTTTCTGGAGAAAGACACAAGAATTTTTGCGGTTTAATCTGATGGTGTGCATTAGCTAGAAATGAAGCACTAAGTCATAATTTTTGGATTCCATTTTATGCATGAAGGTATGGTTAAGAATTTTATAGTAGTGCTTTTCAAATTTTTCCCTACAAAGTGAAAATTGATCAAAACTCTTATCATTTTTTTAATATTGCATTAACATCCATTAGCTCTGTCCATTCGAACAACATCTATGAAAACAGTAGAGGGCAAATCGGTGGTGAACAGAAAGAGGGAGTACCACTGGATCTCTTGGAA